TTTTACTTTTCTACCATGCTCATGGTAGATTTCTGCTGGTTGGTAGTCCTATATTTAAGATAACAATGAGTAATAAATGGCCCAGAAGACAAAGGCTACAGAAGTAATCCTCCACAGTGTCTGTTCCACGTCCTCTTGATTTCAACCATTCACCACACACAGAGCACAGAGCTCAGATTCCCAGGACCCAGCAAAAAGGTCTGCAAACTCACAGCATCTGCAGATTTTTGGGAGCACCTCATCACTGTCTTGTAAGACGGAACTTTGTCAGATGTTGGCATTAAATAATAAATAGGGCATCCCGTTTTGAAATCCAAATTTTCCTCTTTCTCAACATTTTCTGCCCAATTATTTATTATATGACAGTTTTGTTCCCTTAGCAAATAAAAAACAATTTGGTAGTCTGCGTTGATTTATGCCCTTGGTGGAAGGGCCCTTTATTCCCGTGCATAAAATTTAGATCCCTAAACATGTGGATCAAAGCAACAGCATTTTTTGCTAACTCTTAGTTTTGCTTGTTCAAATCTCTCCTCTAGGAATCATTCCACACCTGATACATCAAAGAGCTATTATGACATATGGATTCTTACTTCCGAGACTCGACTCCCATTGAAACCTTTTCACCGTGTTTGAAGTAGTTTACAACAAGAACATTAACAGCATCAGTTGGTTTAGCATTGCTTTACCTTTGGTATGAATTAACATTAGTGGTTAATGAAAAATTTGAACAAACTCCAATCCAGCACCTTTTGAAAGTCATTTTAATCCTAGAGTCTAGCTGTGGGGTATGCCTGCAAGAGACATTTGTGAGATCTACATGCTGAAAACCAAAGCCAAGCTTGTTGGAATATACACACATCACAAGCTTGAACTGCCCCAAGAGCATGTGTGGTCAAGTCAGCATAAGGGTTCTGATCCAGAGCCAGCTACACTCTTAGAGGCAGCACTGTTTTGTCTTCTTTCCCTCTGAGGAAGCACAGAGGTCCTACTCAAGTTTCTACCTGCATGGGGAAGATGCCGATGCATCTTTGGAGCCATGATGGATGGGGGAGGAGGAGCAGAGAGGGAGTAAGGGAGAAAGGGGTGGCCAAGACAGTGGCAGCTTACAATGCCACCCTCTTCTGTTTCTTTTGTAGGATCAGGCTCCTGACTCTTGTTGCTAGGTGCGTCCCAAGCTTCTTGCTGAGTCTGGCTATTGAAGATGGACTAAACTGTTGGGTATTCTGTAGTTTAAATCAACTGAAACAGGTCCCTCTGAACAGCACCTTCTCATTTTCTATGCTTCTGACTGCCCCCAAAGCATATTTTGTGTTTTCAGACAGTTTCCATTTTTTCCAGTGAAGAAGAAATTCAGCCCATTTTCAGCTTCTCCATTAAGCACTAACCAACGGGGTATAACTAAACAAAACCCATGAAATATAGATGGAGGGACCTGATTTTGGTTGGTGTTTGGCTTTATTCTGTATCCACTCAGGATCTGGGTTCTTTGTGTCCCAAGAAACATAGGTCCACATTCCTTTCAATTTATAAACACTCCCTTAATACTGGTGGTATAATATTTTACTTGGCCTCCTAAGCAGACTTCCACAAACAGCCTGTACAGTATACTCACAAGAAGGTGGTGATGCCACGGAAGTGACTTTCTGAATTGTCACTGTATGAGGTCTATACAACAGCTTTAATTTCCCTGCCAATGACATGTCTTATGCTTCTAAAATCAGTAGCAACCAGAAGGAAAGTGGTAAATTAGGGACAAAGGGGATACAGATGCCTGGAATAAGTTAACCCTACAAGCCTGTAAGTAGAGGGAAGTAAAATATCTGAATTTTAGAGAAGAGGAGGAAAGGGCATTCTCTTTCCATACATTTCTCTTCTCTCTCCACTAAATATAGCTTCTGAAATGTAAAAACAAAAACAAGAACAAAACTATTTGAAAGCCTGTGGAACCATGTATGTGGTTCAGGAAAGGACAAGCTGACAGTTCAGAGAAATGTAATGTTGTAGGGGCTTCCTCATGGAACCTGTGTTCAGCCTGGGGGAAGATGCACTCTAGATAGAAATTTCTGGATGGAAATGATCATCTGGAGAAAGCTTTGTTTTTTAGTCCAAGGGGGGAAAACCCCTAAGAAAGTGACAATGATGACCATAAAACCTATACTTATTTCCAACATGATGAGTATATGCAAAAAGTTTGTACTCATTTTGACCTATATAAACATCAGCTTGTTTGGCCAGATGAGAAAATACCGATGAAGTTTCCCTTTTGAAATCTTAACATCCTAGATTTCAGGGTAAAAATTTATAGTGTGATTTCAGAACTAAAGCCTTATTTATTTCACTGTACAATATGTGGCTTCTGGTGGAGTATGAATGACAAGTTGTCAAAGATGCTGCTTAGCAGTTAGGAACTTAAATCCCAAATTATAATCTCCAGAGGTCTTAACCCAGGGTAAGCTTGGGCCAAACACCTACACTTTTAGCAAAGGTTTCCAATGTAATGGAGTTTTCAAAACTTAACAGAGTTTTGGTAATGCATTAGATGATTTCAAGGAGGAAAGAGGTGCAACCAGACATGTAAATAAGCAATCAATCTTAAGAACCCCAGAACTGCTTTAAGATTGGAAGAGAAAGGCATGTACATAGGAGAAACCTCATGATTTGTTCCGCCATTTTTAAAAGACTAAAAACCTCAATTCTACCATTTTATCTGGGTATAAAATATTAAGTTTAGAACTATTCCACTACCTGAAGTAGAAATAAAAGATATTTGTTCTAAAAACGTTACAGTTAGTGGGCCCCTATATCAATTCCAGAAAGGTTAGAAACATTTCTACCCAAAAACTACAACCAGGTAGAGTGATTTTTCCCCTGTAATAAGCAAATAGGGTTGAAATTTACATTTTTTACGAACAGAAGATGGTATAAAATGAATATCTCTAAAATACATTGAAAATATCATTGAAAAATAAAAATGAAAGAGAAATAAGCTCTCAATTCATGAAAATAAGATGGATGCAAACTTTCCATTATGTTTTCACTTTAAGGAGTCCTGAGCTGTTAAATGTTTTGCTTTCCTAAATTATACCTCCCAAACTCTCTTCCTACATTGGAATTTCTGGAGCTTGCATTTCTTGCCTTCTTTTTCCATCTTTTTTTTTTTTTAAAGTCAGCACTTTTTCCTTCACATCCACCATGGAGAACTACAGTGTAGTCATTTCGGTTGATCACAGCTCATTCTGTTATCATGCTCTCCAGCTGCCTGAATCCCATTTTTCAAACGTGAAGGGGAAATATGCCTCATACAGAAATAATTCATTCACTGAAAAAATCCATTGGCCAGTTGAAGTAGGAGTGACAGAGGCAGACACCTCCCGGGAAGCAACCTCAGGCCAGTTTCCAAGACACGCAGCTTTCACTCTTCCCTTCCTCCACTATTATGAACTATGACCTCCATCACTACCGAGGAATTATTCTAACTCCTCTATTTTCCTCTCTATACATGGTCTTTTATAGTCATTAAGATAATTTTTAAAACTATTTTCCAGATGTTCAAAATGTTATTGAGGAAAGACCCTAGTGACATAATTACAAGATGGTACACTAATCTGGCAACTTCCTATTCTCTCACTGTTTTCTCCATAAATTATAAGCAAAAATGGCAACCTGAGTTTAAACCTATGTGCTGAGTATTGGGTGCAAAGTAGATATTCGGTAAATACCTATTCAACTTTGTTCAAATCCTTTACATATCCACACCTAACCCACCATTGCACAGTTATTAGAGGATGACTATTAAGCTTTGTGGAATCAACTGAAAAGGAATATAACAGCTATTTAGATTCCCTCTTTTAACCAAAATATCACTGAATTTTAGCCAAATGTCATGTATGCATTTTTAAAATTTATCATCTCTGAGCTTACTGTTAAATTCGAATACCCTATAAAGTTGTTCTTGAGGAAAAAGGGTTGCCTTAAAATTCCAATAAATTCCACCCTTTATCTTGAAACTCATCATTTGGCCAGAACTGGCAGAGGTCCATCCTTAAAATAACTTGCATTTAAAACAGGTAAATTGTTGTACTCTCATAGAGTCTGTGATTCTAGGTCTCTGAAATTAAAGCAGCAATTGGCATTTGACTATAGCCAAAGGGAAGGGGGAAACAGAGAAAAAGGGAAGCATCTTTCATCATCATTGGTTTGTTGTACACTTTACCCATGCTTTTAAAATATAAGTGGAATTTAATCTTCATAATGAAAAAATAGACACATTTTCTAATAGCAAAATATAAGATTAAAAATACCTAAAAATAAAATGTTAGCATGAAATAGGTAGGGCTTTTTTTACATTAAAAAAAATGAAACATTTTAGATTTGCCTTTCTTATATAAATCCTCTTATTAATAGTTACAACCTTCCAGAATAGCTCTTATGAGACACTGAAGGAGACAGGCAGGAAATCCTTTTTTGAGATGCGACATCAGGACCTGAATATATACATTGGACAGAGCAGTCAGTCCTCAACCTCAAATCTGTCCACCAGCATTAGAGAAAGGAACGCTGTATTTCCAACCTTGAGATTTTTCTTTATATTTTCCTCTTTTTGGATGTTAAACTCTTTCCAAGAATACTCTACTTGTAGAAATGGTTTTATTCTAGCTATAAAACATTTCATTTAAGAAAACCACATTTTTGTAGCCTTGTGCGAAATGCCCCCAAAAGCCATCAAGATATGGAGACACCACATTTTCAAAACATAAACCTAATCATATGCCCATTTAAACAGAGTGATGTTATATTCTCATATTTGTTTGTCATGAGATGAAAGGCCAGGGGGCATATGGTGATTAATAATAGTTCCTGAGCTTCTAAAGAAGTTGTACAACAAAACGACTAACTGCTTAAAAGAATGAGTTCTTCAAGAGCGCCCCTTCTGTTCCATTGATGTCTTTCATCCCATCTATCTCCTTAAAGGATCTCAAGCCAAAAGAAAAGGCTTTCTTTTAAGCCACTGAAAAATGGGATCTGATAGAATCTTCCCGTAACTCTCGATGTTTTCCAACGTTACTTTCTTCTTGCTGGCTTCGCCTCTCAATGGTTATTCTGTATTTCTTCCTGGGTAAAGGGAAAGTGAATGTAGTAATAAAACCTCAGTTGGCTACAAAATACTATGGTTTCTCTTACAAAGAATGCCCTCAAGGGACATCTGGGTTTGGGTTGATAAATGAGAAGTGACAGAATATGAAACCCTGGTCAGAGATTAAAGCTGTGTGCCCCAAGGCATTGTGCACTTATTCAAGGAGGAAAATTGGCATGCTCTCTGAAATGCCATAGAACAAACCTCCCCCTTTTCCCCGGGTGCCTTGTGGGTCGCGTCTTGTCTATTCTGCCACAGAAGCTCTCCCTAACTCCCAGGATGTGCCCTAGATAAAGATCAGACTAAGTGTGCTGTGACCAAAGGAACAGGAATACAATTGTTCCCACAAAGAGTCACATACACCCAGAGTTCAATTTCCATACAGAAATGAAGAAATCTTGGGCTAATGACATGAGAATAAGCCACAAACTCAATCACCAAAGATTATAAAGGAATGGACTGCCCTCATCATATGGGACTATCAGTATCTTGAACACACATAAATATTACAAGTTTACAAGCTTTGGGGCTTTACCACAATGATAATTAAGCACATGGATTCTCTAAATACTGAGCACACACCAGCCTGAGACTGTGGACTGCTCAGGGACACCTCTTCCTCTTCAGAAAGTGAACCCAGTCACCTATTTCTGAATTGGAGGAAGCTTAAAAATAGTTGTTTCTCCTTTGTCCGCATTCTCTCTCTTACATACACACTTGGTGGGTAGTAGGAGTTTGGGTCAGAAGATATGTGATCAAAGGATAGCAGTGGCTCTGTGGCCACAGGGGACAGATGCAGCAGAAAGCCCCGGCCTGCTACCCAGTACACAAACCCACTGACCACCAAACCGCCAGGGTCACAAAGACCGTCACAGAAGAACGGCTTCGTTCTTTTAACCACCATGCTTTGTAGGTAAGAGCAAGATATTGGCAAGTCACAAGGAGGGTTGTACAAAGGCAAGTGACAAAGGCAATAAAGGAGAGTGAATTTTAAAACTTGATAAAACAGTTCTCACCTGAAAAAGTAGAAGGCCATTAACAAACCAGCTCCTAGTAAGGCCCCCACAACAATTCCTGTCACTGCCGATTCTTCTAGACCACCTGCTTAAAAAAGAAACATAGATAATCAGAGTTCATTTTGAGAAACAGAAATGTCTCAAGTTTCATTCACTAGAAGGTGTATCTCAATTTCCCACTTGAGGCAAATTTTCCTTTTTTTTTAAAGAAAGATTTTCTAGGGGATCCCGCACCTTCATTTGTTTGCTAAGTGCAAAGCTTCAGAAGCATTTAAGAAGGAACCAGATGGACGAACACAACGCTCGAAGACAGTGAGAACAATGGGGAGAAAGCAGGTTCCAGAAGGATCTGAGGAACACTAGGAAATGAAATGTGAGATACATCCACCCTGAGTTCCTAGTCAGAGAAGACAACTGGACAGAGCATGGGACTGACCCAGCACATCTTACTTTCGCAGACGGATGATGACACTTAAAAGTGCTAGAAGATTTGGTGAAAAATGCATTGGGCTCATGTTCTGTTTTTAGATGTTCTCTCACTAGAGCCAGAGTTCCATGTCAAAATGTCCTATATAGCTTTGTGAAGATGGGAATAACAACTTGAAACAATCGAGTTCAGTAGTGTCCCACTTATTATATAAACATGACAAAAACCTAGCTTTATATAAACAGTGTAGTGTCTGCCTTTAACGCATCATCTCATTTAATCCTCAGAACAGCTCTAAGAGTTGGGTGCACTGTTTTTCACTTTACATACAGGAACACTGAGGTTTAAAGAGGTAAAGGAACATTCCTAGGATCACAAAACCAGTAGTGACAAGGGTCATGCCCAGTAACTCCAGAGAATGTTCTTAATACATTTATGCTTTACTCCTCCTTGTAATTATTGCATATATATAAATAACATGGTTTGAAGGCTGGTCCCAAAATAATGAGCATAAATACATTAGCGTAAGTGACCAACTGGCCTGAAAGGTCAATATTCACTTGGTTCCCCCTCACTAGCTTATCAAAGGTCTCTTCTAAAGCAACAATTTCCAAAACTCCCTATTTGTAAGCTCCTTATAAGAAGGTCCACTTGCTGGGGCACCTGGGTGGCTCAGTCCATTAAGCATCAGACTTTGACTCAGGTCATGATCTCATGATTCATGGGTTCAAGCCCCACATCATGCCCTATGCTGACAGCTCAGGGCCTGGAGCCTGCTTCGATTCTCTGTCTCCCTCTCTCTCTGCCTCTTGCCCACTCACGTTGCCTCTCTCTCTGTCTCAAATAAAAATAAACATTTTTTAAAAAATTTTAATTAAAAAAAAGAATGCCCACTTGCTTTCATATTTATGACAAAGCTTCTCATAAATAACATATTTTATACTTATTTGCCAATTTGCCAATTTGGGGGTGTTTAAGGGACATTATCTATTTGATTCTGAGGGGTAGGAGAGTACCTACAAACTCTGAACATCAGAATGAGACTTGCTACACATTTACTATTTGATCTATTTCTTCTTCCCCAACAGCAATGTCAGATGCTAAGCAACAGTAAGAGATGTCGTAATAGGGAGAAGGTTTCTAGCATTTTGGGAAAAGATGGAAGAAGAAAGACCTAGAAACCTCTAGTGAAGGTGGGGTGCCAGTTCGTGAATTGTTCCCATGGGTTTTACCACATCAGAAAAATAAAGCTGAATGTTCAGAACATGAGCTCCTACAAAACACCTGTCTTTTAAACTTGTGTAACACTGACACTACAGATGGGGAGATGGGCGCAAGTTAAGTCTCTAAACTTACATGATTTGCAAGGAGAGCTGTTTGTGTGCTCCACAATTCTGGTTTCATCTATTCTCAGTTTTAAAGGTCCCCAAGGATATTTGACATTCGGCCGCATTTCAAAACGACCTTCTTTTCCGAAGTAATCACCGATAACCTATGTAAAAGCAGAAAATGTGCAAACTGAAAGGTCAAAGTTACCTGTTTCCAAAGGAGGCATAGGGTGGGCTCCCTGTCACACTGACTGTAATGATGTGTTTTTGAGGACTTCGTAAGTCAAGATTTGTGGTCACTGACGGTCCTTTAAAGGAGGCATAACTTAGGGAGGACCATGGCTCCCCAGGGCAGGAAAGTGGTTATACAGAAAACAATAATCTTGGAATTCCTGGCTCTTCCCTTGCTCATCTGAGGATGTGCTGTTTTGCCCATCTGCCATGAGCAGCCCGCCCGCAGGCAGCCATTTGTAAGCCCCACATTAATCTCAGGGATGTGGGGGGGGGAGCCAGGCATCTCATACCCAGTATGGGATTAAGCCAGTACCGGCACACAGCCTCATGCCACTCAACTAGCTGGGCATATAAAGGGTCAAAGGTATCTTTTAGGAACATCCTGTTTCACCCTTCTCTGTTTGAAAGATCATTCCCTGACTTTGAGGGTTACGTTCTCCTCTCTGATGAATTTACCCCATTTGTACCCCCATTTCGAGACTGAACTTTCTTTTTCACTTGGTTCAGTATTCTTTGATGGCTTGATTCAAAGTTTGCCCATGGTTTCTGGTCCAAACAGATATTCCATCAGCCTCCTGAGCCCTGATATAGAAGTAGCTTCCCACCCAGGTTCTCAGGGTCTGTTTCTCTTTTTTCCTGGGTACTAGCACACTGCTCCTGAGAAGCCTGTGACATCTCCCCTCTGTCACCTGAAGGAGGGCCAGCAAGCTCTCACAGGCTAGCTCATGTCATTGTAAAAAAGAATTTCTAGATAATTACCAAAATATGACAATCCCTGGCATATACGGAGCACCCCCCAAATACTTTAACCTCACAACGAGCCCATAATAGACTTTTACTACCCACTCATAACAGAGGGAGAAACTAGAGTGCACGTGAGACTCAGGCCACTCCAAAGGTAAAAATCATTCAGTACACGTAGCAAGCGTCAGGTCCGGCCAGCTCTGCTCCTCCCACAAAGGCCACATATATTTGTACTAAGAGAAAAGCAGCAAGCCCCTTACACCCGGTCACATCAAGTGCTGTGGAAACTTCAACCCTGGGGGAGAGCCACCAAAGAAGCACACTCAGCCACTGAAAACAGGATCTCCCCACTCGGGATAAACGTGGAACTATTTCTTGAAATCTTCCAGGATCCCCTCAACCAGAAGGGAGCCCTCTCTACTTGGAAACTCCTAGATTTCCAGCTCATTTTTATTTGGAGGCTGCTCTGGGGACAGCTATGTGGACACCAGGACAAATGCATTCCTTGGGACGTCAGCGAGCAGAAGGAGCGGCCGAAGCAGCGTCTCATTCGCTCACCTCCTGGGTGCCCGCCTCTGGGTCTGTCATTGCAATCACGGAGAAGTCCCCATACCGGTCTCCGTTGGCATCTATGGACACCTGCCCGGCAATACCTAGAGGATGAGATGGGAAGGACTCCAAGTCAGTGACTGCAAATACCTCTGTCTGCCAACAAAAACAAGAAAATGAATTGACAAGATTTTTTAAACAAACTCATGCCACAGGGAAGCTCATCAGACTCTAAGCATTTTTGTTGGCATTTGGAAAGACATTGTAATTTCATCTGTGTCTGCATTCCTAAATTCTTAACATTTCTCCATTTAAAAATGAAAAGAAATAAATGACCTTCTTTGGGGACTATGTTTAGGGAAAAAAAAAAAAAAAGATTAAGGCTAATTCCAAAAGCAGCATGCTTATCCCAGAGTCTTGTATTAATTAAGAAAAAAAAAAAAAACTGCAAAGAGAGAGAGGCTGGGGACGTGGTGCGTTCCTAGACCTGTCGTGAGTTCATGTTATCACTGGCCAAACATTATAGGAGAAAAGTCATTCTAGGCCCAGGACTCAGTGAATGTGTGTCAAGAGGGGCACCCTTGGGTACAGGAGAACAGAGGGGCTGCCTCACGGGCCATGGGAGCCACGAGCTAAAGAAGAGCGAGCCTTCACCCCACTCGTGTTCACTCATTCAGTTTTGTTTTGTTTTGTTTCATTTTGGGGGTTTTCCTCAGTTTTACGGAGCTATAATTGACCTACCACACTGTGTGAGTTTCAAGTATCCAGCATAAAGGTCTGACTTGGGTATATTGTGAAATGGTTGCCACAGTAAGTTTAGTTGACATCTGTCATCTCATATAGATACATAATGTCACTCATTGTTTATCCACATGAGTTCTGGGCCATTACTAGGTGCTGAACTGGACACACTGCCCCACTCAAGACAGCGGGAGCCTGGACGAAGGATTTCACTTGTTCGCCCTGGAATCTGACTGCAGGTATTTTAATCCTAGCTTTCACATTTACTAGCTGTGTGGCCCTGGGCAAGGACTTAGCCCCCTGGGCCTCCACCTTCAGGACTGTAAAAGAAATGCACTCGTACCTCCCAGCCAAGAGGCTGTTGAGAAGATTAAATGAGCTGCAACAGGTAAAACACTCCCACGACAGGTGCAAAAGAAGTTAGTTGTTACTGTACCTGGAGTATCTGGGAGAGGGCACCTGCCCATGCCCACTCAGAGAACGAGTTGGCACATCCAGTTGGAGACGCAGGGAGGATTCAGTGAAAGAGCAGATCTTTTATGGGAATGTTAGTAAAATCCATGATTTAGACTAGCAGCCATCAGGAAGTGGCAGTATTCTAAGCAGAAAGGTTAGCCTTGTTACTATTTACGAAGTCACGGAAGCTGAAAGGAACCAGAGGGACTGTGAGGTTCTGGGTGAGGTGGCCCGTGTGTGTGGAAGGAAGCAGTGAGATTTAAGGCTGGAATATGGTGGCCAGAGCATGGAGAGCCTAAGTGCCCACACAAAGGATTTCAATTTGCTTTGGCCAGCAACAGTGGCTTAGACAGCTAATCAGTGAAAGTGAATATATATCATTAGTTAATATTAAATGTCTATACTGTAATTTTCATTAGCTGAACAAAAGAATGCATAGGTCAGCCACATCCTAATTAACTAAGGCAATGTGTATTCTTTCATTTTAAACTGTGTTAGAGTTCAGTGTAATTCTTAGTTTTTCTATTGATTTGATTCTCTCTGGAAGTAAAATGAATGTCTGGGAAAAGGGATCCCAAGGGAAAGTTCCATCCTCTAGTGTGGTTTGGAGAGGGCAAGTATTTGGGTTTACTGTCCTTTGGGTTGTGGTTTGAAGGCCCACTGATTTTTCCAGACTTTGGTCTACTTTGCCGCAAACAGAATGGAGCTGCCATTCATCTTGATTATTTTGTCTTTCTAATATATACTGGTTACAGAGGATACATCTATCTTATACTTGTTTATTCTTGACACCCTATACAATGTTTAAGTAGTAAATGTCGTTTTTAAAAATCATATTTATCTTGGGCCATCTGGGTGGCTCACTCAGTCAGTTAAACATCCGACTTCGGCTCAGGTCATGATGCCATGGTTTGTGGGTTTGAGCTCTATGCTGGGCTCTGTGCTGACAGCTGGGAACCTGGAGCCCGCTTCCGATTCCGTGTCTCCCTCTCTCTCTGCCCCTCCCCCATTCATGCTCACTCACTGTCTCTCTCAAATGTAAATAAATTTTTTTTAAATTTAAAACATCATATTTATCTCCGAACATATTGCCAATCCAAAACCATTTGTCATCCTGTTCATAGGTGTTTATAAAGGTGTGTTCTGCTAAGGGCTTTGCAGAGTTTTATTTTATAAGACAAGGTGGCCCTAGTAAATCCAAGACCTCATTACACTTTAAGCTATTACAACTCTGCCAAGAAATGGGGTGAGAACCCTCAGCGTGGCCGATTAGCAAGTGAGACTTCACCTGAGAGTATTGTGTATAAGGTGAGATTGTCAAGCTGACAGCAGAATTTTCCTGTACATAAGTAATGAGACTTACCACCCTCATTTCCATTGGCCTGTAGTGGACCTCACGATCTGAGCCACAGTCCTATTTACCTTGTCACTCTGACCTCTCCCACAGAGAGGAAATTCAGCTTCTTCCCAGGCCATTTATTGAGAGCCTTGAGAGATGGTCATTGGTTTCACGGTAATAAAATCCAAATTTGTCAAATAACATCCAGAGTATTTTTCCCTTGACAATTAAATGATCACTTACAGAATGACCATTTCTCAGAGTTCTTTTGGGGGCTACCCTCAGCCTGATCCTTAGTTTGCAAATAAAATGGGCTTTCCAAAGAATTCAAGGTCAAAACTTACACTGGCTTCAATTATCTTTACATCGGGACAAATAAGGGTCTAAGTTTAGACTTGACTATATAGTTGATTGTTTTAGGGCTCATTTCATATTGTCTGTGTAGACCTGGCCCCAGAATGGAAGAATCAGGATGACCTACGGGAAAATTTAGTCCACGCCCCCTATACAACGCTGAATTCCAGCTCTTGTGGGCACCTGCCCTTCCCTTAACAACCTCCTTCAGAAGACCAAGAACAAATGACCACACCATGTAGTAAGGAATAGCTAAAAATGGGATGTGGCCTACCAAGGTTGTGTCCACATACACCAGTTTCTCAGTGTATTGGGCACAACTTCTGGGAAATCTGAATCTGTCCTAATATGCCCCCTGAATTATCCGGTGGGATTCCAACTCTTCAACTAAAGCAGTCACAAGTTGAGCAAGACAATCTTGGAGGCTTATTTGTTTGTTCATGTCCTACTGTCTAAAAGTAAAGTAGATGCCACTCTAGTTTCAGGTAAGATCTGATATTCACTAAAACCACCATGGAGAAATTAAATCCAATTGTCACCATAGCTGCTGCCCAGACAGCTGGAACTTGACCCCGCAGCACTGTCTGACCGTTTCTAATAAACAAGGGCAGGATGAGATAATGGAGTGCATTGAAGTCCCAAATGAAAAAAATATATATATATAGATAGATAGATAGATAGATAGATAGATATGTTCCACAAATCTAGACTTGGCAGTACTTGTTCTCATCACTGAAAAATTTCATCAGTCACTCTCTGACTGTGGCTCCTATCACACTGCCCTTCACGTGCTGTGCTTGAGCCCAACAAACCTCTTTGCTCTTCAGGGGGGCCACTCAGCACTCTCTCACCAGGTACACTCAAGGTCTCTGTGCTCTCTGCTCTGTCTGGAATGTTCTCTCCTAAACATCTGCATAATTTCTTTCACTTCCCTCAGGTCTCTACTCAACTGCAACGTATCAGAGATCTTCCCTGGCCTCTCTCTTTAAATTAGCAGTTCTCCCAAAGTGCCTTCCTGTCACGCTCTATCTGCCTACCCTGTTTTATTTTATTGCCCCTGAAATGGTGTATTTGTTTGTTTATCACCAGTTCCCCCTACTCCCCAGAAAGCTCAATTGATCGCAGAGAGGGTCTTTGGCTCACTGCAAACCCTCAGCATTTTGAACAGTGCCTGGCACATAGTAGATGCTCAAGAAGATGCAATGAATGAATGGACGCCTGAATATGACATTGACATCTGCAGGGCTCCAGCAGCTGGGTCATTCTCATTGAGTCCATGTTAATTTTCTTTGAGGTGTCAGTGAAGTGAAAGGAAACCAGCATTCTATACACTATTAGCAAGAATTCAGACCAGTAGATCTTTGGGGAAGATATTTGGCACTATTTAATGCACCTTAAAAGGCATTAACATACTTTTGGACCCAGATATCCCATGACTAGAAATGTTCCCTGTTGGATGTACTCACAGAAATTCATCAAGGTGTGTAAGATGCTTGTGACAGCATTTTGCATAACAGCAAAAACTGTAAACAACTGAAGTATCCATCAATAAGAGACTGGTTAAAGAAATCTCTGTACAACCATATGGTAGAAAAATATAGAACTATCATTTTTAAATGTGCTAAATCTATGAGTGCTCATATGGAAAAATTTTTTATTTGATATACAAGTTTTTAAAAAAAGCTGAGATGGAAGACTGACATTCATTGTATAGCTCCTTTTGTGTAATTTTTTGATAAGATATACAAATGCATATGTGCTGGCAGAAGGCACAAAATATTTTTAGACTGAATCATAGGAAATTGTTAATAGTGGGTACATTAGGGAGAGGAGACTAGGGTGGGAAGGAAAACTTTCACTTTTCATTTTGTACATTTTTGTACTGTTTAAATTTTCCAGCCAAGAATAGTCTCATTCTTGTACAATTTTTAAATGTCAACAGAGGTTGCTTGAGTGATGAGATTATGGGCCATTTTTTTTTTTTGCAGTGGTTCTTATACTTCTCTGTTTTAAAGAAAGCCACAGCTGATATTTACCATTTTAGAAATAAAATAAAAGCAAAGGGTTTGATTGGACTGGCTTATAATCTCAAACGACCCACAATTAAACAGATGAATGTATATCTGAAGCTACTTCTTTTAAAACGGATCACAGGACTCTTCACAAACTAATTATTTGTTGTGAAGGAGGCTTGTGACAAATTTAATTTGAAGAAGCATGGGCTTGTTATCTAACAATCCAAAGGAGACAAGGCACTTCCTGTTTCAGTGGGATTCTTTCAAAGCACTTTCACAAGCTTTATCTCATTTAATTGTCACAACAAGCCTGTGAGGTAGGTTGATCTTGACCTATTATCCTTTACAGCTGAGAAAAACAGGAAACTGACGAAGTCCCATAGGTGTAAAAAAGAAAAACAGAACCAGGGAAGAAGCAGCTTGATCATCTACAAAGTGTTGTCACCTTATAGACTGATCCTCACCTTCAAATGTTCTGTTCCAAGTCTGCTGGATAATTTTCCCTCCATCCTTCTTGCTGTAACCAGCTCTGAGCACTTCATGTAAAGCCAGAACATAGAGGAGGATGGCATCATGGAATCCTTCAACAAACATGTTAACCTGGAAAGGAAACCCCAGTTGGGTGAACACAAACACCAATGACTCAATGTTCATGAATAATGTAAGTAAATCAAAATGGTTAACCAGTTAGACTCGAGGTCCACAAGCAATGGCAGAGATGGGCAAAGTGTAGCCGACAAGAATCATGCCATGGTTTTCCTGGCACTGGCTTAGTGAGGAAAATCCTTCCCATGTTTAGGAATTTGGAAGGCAGACAAGATATTACACAAGTCAAGGAAATTGTACCTGTTGATGAGGTTAAGTATTCCAGGTGCATCCCACTTGTCCATAGTTCCCTCTACATGGGTGCCTTCTTTCCTCCTCACATCTACTCTCTACCGCAAGCCAACCTAAGTCTAACCTCCTCCTTTAGGTTTTCATCTCCATCAGTCCCCATGATCTCCCCATGCTCTGAATATGAAAGTGACTAAAAGAACAGTAGGGATCCATTCATTCATGTTCGGATACTACTGAAAGCCTACTCTAATGCTGGTGTTATGGATTCAAAGAGGAGTGCCGTTCCTCCCTGCCTGGCGTCTGTGTCCTCTCTTCCGTCAGCAATGGGACCTCAGTTTCTCTTTCCAGTTTGTGTTTGTAGTGGTTCCTGTGGATAGGACCATCCCTACCCGGCCTCTGGACCACCCCCACACCACGTTCTAAGGACAGGAATGGAAACATGCCTGGACCATCTGTTTATCCCAACCAGGTCCTGGCTCAAGTAAGATAGCCCTTCCCCTCAAGAAACTTAAGCTCCATGTGTCTTTGGGGAAATCACTTAATTTCTTTGAACATTGTTTCATTCAATAAGCATCATTTGAAAGTTCAGATACCATATTTAAACCCATTGAACATGAAATGACCAAATATAATCTTGAAATTTAGTGGCTTACAAATTCCGTATAAAAGTACACACACACACACACACACACACTCAAGTCTTTTTATTTCAGGAGAAACTGTCAAGAATGGAATGCCATGGAGCAGAATGCATTCAGCATTCCACAGATGTCCACCACGAGTCCTGGCAAGAAGGCTTTCCATGCCTCATCCCTAGAAGAGTTTTCCATAGGAGAGTACCACAACTAACCTGCATCACCTGGCTCAAATACACAAACATCCACAGAAAACACAGCTCACTGTCCAGTGCTACTTTGGCCTCATCTCATCCTTAAAGACAGTGAGTCCTGTTTTTTGTCATAGAAGGAAATACTTTGCATTTGCCACAGTCCAGTGCTGAGAGGCTGTTTAGAATAATGGCCTCTAGAATGGATAGAGCCTGGGCTCACTACCCAGCTCTCCCACTTCCTGGATGTGTCTCTCCACAACTCTGGGCCTCAGTTTTCCCTATCTGGAAAATGAGGAAAATAATAGTACTTATCTCATGGGGGTGCTCTTACATTTAAATGAATTAATAAGTGTAAAAGACTTCCAGCAGTGCCTGGCAGAGTTAGCACTCACTGTTAGGCTTAATTGTTGTTGCTGTGTACATATAGAGAATTATAAAGCTAGGGATCCTGCTTAGCCTCTAATTCCTAATAGCAGTATTCAGAAAATAAGCACTCTATCATATAACATACCTTATGGACTCATTTTACACTTAATGGAACGGAGGCTCCTTGTTCATCCTTTAACATGTCAAGCAGTGTTCTTACTTCCTGAGTGTCAAGCCTTTAATTCTACCCAAGCATGAGGCGTGCAGCCTGCACTGGTCAGGTCTGCTTATCATCTGGGAGAGGAGGAGTGTTTGCTTACAGAAAAACTCAGAATTAGCTGCTGGACCCAAAGTCTAAGCCTAGCCCTGATACATTACTTAATCTCTCTAATCTTCAATTTCCTCACTGGCCCAACGGGGGTTTAGTGCCTGCTCATCCCACAGAGCTCTTCAGGGGATTGAACGAATGTGTGCATATAAAACATCAGAAACAGTTTCTGGGACTAAGAAAGCAAATGGTAGACATTGGCTCTTACTCTTAGCCATCAAGCTTAAGTCTCAGAGTCATTGTTTTCTTAGGCAAAGAAGAGTGATGTAGAAATAACAGCTAGTCAAAGATAATTTTCTGCTGATTTGGCTATGCTAATTCAATTTTCCAAAGGAATATGAAATTTTCGCTTAAACCATGAAGTCATCATGGCTTAAGAAAGTGTGCATGCTGATGAGTTAATGAGTTTTAATAAGTGGACTTTAGGGGTGCCTGGGTGACTCCGTTGGGTAAGCATTCTACTCTTGATTTCAGCTCCCGTCATATTCTCACCGTTCATGAAATTGAGCCCTGCATGGGGCTCTGCACAGAGAGCATGAAGCCTGCTTGGGAATCTCTCTCCCTCTCTCTCTCTCTGCCGCCTCCCCTGCTTGCACACACTCTCTCAAAATAAACAAACTTTAAAAACAAATAACATAAGTGGACTTTAGCTGTGTGATTTCTTAGGTCCTCATAAAAACATTTTTCGAAAAATCTATCTTCCCTGGGATAATTATATAAAACTCACCCTGCTACATAGGGAAATCATAGAACCCTGGAAAATGGAAAATGTAGAGCGCCTTAGATGAGCTCTGGTCTAATCCTCTCCTTACTCTGAGAACCAAAAGAGCATCCCTCCTCATCAGTCTTTCTACACTCTCTAATTGAAGTTTTCCCTCTCCTTGTTCCTGGGGAGCCTAGTCTGGCCCCTGCTTAAATCCTAAGTTACCTGCCACTGGGTATCAGCTGTCCACTTACCTTCCTCCTCTTCCTGATTCCTTCCTGAATCTTCCTGATTCCTTCTCAAAACCTAGGGCCACCATGCCGACATGGCCCACCTAAAGCACTAGACATGTGCCCCAGCATCAAGTAACTCTTGGCCCCTCCTCTTCCTTCCTTCTTGCTCTGCCCCCTAAATTGCCCCTTCTACAATTGCAGGTTATCTAGCTAAGAAACATGAACTTGGATTACCCTTTTCCTAACAGGTTTGATGGCAGAAGAGAATAGGTTCTGAACACATGCCCAGGTCTGAAAACTCATTCTATCTTGATTTGTAAATGGATAGCAAAATTTACCTCCTTTCCTCTCAGAGTGGCTGAGTGTTTCCCTCTCCTGCCAAAATTAGCAGGAGAGCTGCTGACTTGCGCCGAGGCTCACTGGCACCCCGGCCTGCTGCGGAGGAAGTTTCATAACACCTACCTCATAGAACCTCGAGCCAGAAGCAAAACCCTAGAGACCGTCTTTTCTCAAGGAGAACATTCTCACATCCACACGTGTTTTTTAATGGGAGGAAAGCCCATCAGCACATTACAGACACTGAAAATCGCAAGTGCAAACCTTTTTTTTATGAGGGAGACAAAGATCCAGAGTATTAAGTTGCCTTTGAAACATTTTTCACTCGGCCTCCAGGCTGAAATGAACAAGGTCATCTGCTCTGCCCCCCGGCCTCTGGTCATAACAAAATTTGAACCTTGACATCCGTGATCCATTACAGATCATGCTATTGTTACTAATCAAAGAAAACAGGATACCCTCACCTGAGTATTCTAGTACTGAGCATCATTTAGCTCTTCCTTACTGTCATTAGGCATAAGTCTTAATTAAATTCATAAATACAGCCATTACCCTGCTAGATACTAAACAGAGTTAAGAGAACAATGTAGTTCATCAGCCCTGGAAGTTTACAATCTCAACCAAATAGCCCCACAGCTCCACAAAACACATAGGTGAACTCCCCACTAGAAAGTTATGAAGTAGACCACCATGAGGGACAAGCATCAGGATAATAATTATCTGTGCTGGGTATCAAATAAAGTGTCTATCATTTAAACAAGATGGGAGTCATTCATCACCTTCCACTCATTCAGGGACGTTAGCCAGAACAAGATGACACGTTGGCCCTAACTCTCTCATCATTTCATCTCCATCCTCTTGATCAGCAAGAGGGCGGCTCTGTACGTGGCCAGCAGCAGGTATTCCAAATGAAAGAAAGCCATTTTGCCACTGGCCTTCCTCTCTGATAGCACCTGTCAGCCATGTACATTAGTGTTTTGGTTTTTTTTAATCCTCTATCATGGGGAAAGCTGGATAGAAATCTTGTTATATTTTAACTGAGCATATAGAATTACCATTCATAACATGGCTCTTATCTGTAACCGTGAACGAAGTCTTTCTCATTTCTCTTTGGAGGGGAAAACTGATAGATGGATGGATGAATTCTTCAATGCCTGCATTCCAAACAAGTAAACAAAGTACGCCGCATGCCTCAGCTGTTCTGTAAAGTGAGAATGAATAACACAGCAGCAATCTAGCTCCCAGGTCATCTGGATGTCTGAGAAAGACTGTAAAGCTCTCAGACAGAGGCCACTGGGAGAAAGCTACCAAAGATAATGCCACAACTAGGCTGTCCTGGGATTTTGCTTGTGGTATTCACGTAACTCTAGCATATTACACAGTGGTTCTATCTTCCTTACCACAAATCAATGGTTCAGATTGCAAATGAGGAAAGCTGAGGGTGCTGGGAAACATTTCTCAAGAGTCTTTTGAAAAAGACATGACCCTTAACCTCTCATTCAGTTGAAGGGGAGATGGGGTTAGGAAGATTCTGATGGCTTTCTGAAAAGGTAAGATGAGAGACAGGTCCAGGACACACTCTCTCCCCAACATAGAATGAACAATGGCAGCTTATCTAATTAGGAATAAGACCCTCAAGTGAAACTTATCCTACTGGGCCCCTGTCAATCATGGCCATGGAAAAGAAATGGCCTGCAAGTGATCTACATGCAATAAAAACAGAGATACTACTTGTTTTCATTCCATTTTCTGTTGAATTGTAAAATTAAAAATCTATAATTTAGGGGGTGCCTGGATGGCTCAGTCAGTTAAGTGTCTGAGTTCGACTCAGGTTATGATCTCATAGTTCATGAGTTCTAGCTCCACATCGGGCTCTGTGCTGACAGCTCAGAGCCTGGAGCCTGCTTCGGATTCTGTGTTTCCCTCTCTCTCTACCCCTCACCTGCATGCTCTCTGTCTCTCTCTCTC